AAAAAAAAAAAAAAAACTGTTTGGGGCTGGGCATGGTGGCTCACGCCTGTAATCCCAGCTACTTAGGAGGCTGAAGCAGGAGAATCCCTTGAACTTAGGAGGCGGAAGTTGCAATGAGCTGAGATCATGCCAGTATACTCTGGCCTGAGCAAGAAGAGCAAAACTCAGTCTCAAAAAACTACATAAAAAAATAACAATTGAGTACTCGGCTTAATGCCAAAGTGATGAAATATTCTGTACAACAAAACCCCAATGACACGAGTTTACCTGTGTAACAAACCTTCACATGTAGCGCCAAACCTAAAGTTAAAAAATGAATATAATTCTTAAAAAATTTACTGCTGATTTTTTTCTGAAGTCTTATAACGATGCAGAAATACACATATACTAGACTTGCTCTGACACATGGCACAGAATTGACAGTAGCGGCTCCCCAGTGAGGTTGGAAAGAGGGTGGAGGATGTGACAGAGAAAGGAGATGCTTTGTGGCCAAGGGACTTAGATGCAGCTTTGCTTAGTTTTACCACAAAACAAATATATTCATTGGCCAGGTGTGGTGGCTCATGCCTGTAATCCCAGCACTTTGGGAGGCCTAAGGCAGGCGGATCACCTGAGGTCGGGAGTTCAAGACCAGCCTGGCCAACATGGAGAAACCTCATCGCTTCTAAAAATACAAAATTAGCCGGGCATGGTGACGCATGCCTGTAGTACCAGCTACTCAGGAGGCTGAGGAAGGAGAATCACTTCAATCCCAAAGGTGGAGGTTGCGGTGAGCAAAGATCACGCCATTGCACTCCAGACTGGGCAACAAGAGTAAAACGCTCTCAAAATAAATAAATAACAAATACATACATCATGTGATGTTTAAGTGTAAACGTACATATTTACTAATAATTGGTGGGGCTGGGCACCGTGGCTCATGCCTGTAATCCCAGCACTATAGGAGGCTGAGGCGGAAGGATCACCTGAGGTCTGGAATTCGAGACCAGGCTGGCCAACATGATGAAACCCCGTGTCTACTAAAAGTACAAAAAGATTAGACAGGTGTGGTGGCACATGCCTGTAATCTCAGGTACTCGGGAGGCTGAGGCAGGAGAATCACTTGAACTTGGAAGGTAGAGGTTGCAGTAAGCCAAGATCATGCCACTGTACCCCAGCCTGGGTGACAGAGCAAGAATCCATCTCAAAATAATAATAATACTAATAATAACAGGTGGAATGAGAATATGGCTCAATCGTCTAGGATATGAAAGTACTTCTCCCATTGTTGAGAAAAACTGTAACTTTTTTTTTCCTTGTAAACAGGAGAATTTTATACAAATATAAAGTTTTGCACCTTCAAAGTTATCACTCCAATAAGACACTTATTCAATTAAACAAATAATCTTGAAAACTATTTTAACAATGTACGAATATATTCACAACATAACCTGCTGATTAAGACTTCAACAAAGTTTATAATACCTATAACAGAATTTACAAATGCCTATAATAGTTTCTGGATTGGTTTACAGTTACACAGAATGCTTTAAGAAATACCATTAATACAAATGCATAATTTACAATATCCCCATTATAGCAAGAAAAAAATAGATTCAGAAAATAAAATATCTTTTAGGCATTTATTATGCCAAGTATGTAAATGATTATTCTCATTATGACATGAGAATAATGCTCTTTTAGTGGTAAAAGATCTATTAGCTCAAGGTCCACTGAAAAGCTTTCAATCTAGCTGTCCTTTCTGTAAAATAAATAGAACAGCAGCAATCTCTGGGTATTCCTTAAACAAACTATGATGATTCCATTTATATTAACTGGGCCTTAAGTAAATGACTTCTTCCAAATAAAAATAAAATTTTAGAAAATAATTAATACCACTGGCCCTAATTGTTTTCACTTGCTTGCATATGTCTAAGAAACTTCCCCAGGAAGTACAAATTGAAAACTAACAATAATTTCTAACTTATACATAAGCCAAAGTGCTCACTCTTACCATGGAAGCAAAATTTGCTCCTGAAAATAGTCTACAGAAATAATATGTAAACACATAGAACTTTGAGACAGACTAAGAACATCTTCCTATGTTTTATGGATCAAAATGCAAAGGTTTCCATTACCTATGTAAATGACCACTTTCATTAACTTGGCATATACTGATATTACACGGCTGTGTGCATACCTATGGAACACGTGCACACCTACACCACAGAATAAATCCTGACAATGTTTCTGGTGCCAGCATATACTTTCTAGCCCCAAATGCTGGAAAGCAAATAAAAACTTAATATGAAAACTACTTTTCCTTTTTATAAATCAAGTTTTTAAGTGGAAAAACAGAGCCAACACTCCTCGTTGCAACATGGACTAAGCTCTAAAAGGTTCAGAGTCAAGAATCTCTTCAGTTGTTCCCCAATGTAACAAAGCACGTAAGTTTTCTCTATTCAGGAAGTCTGATCATCTCCAGTGTTTTGTCGTAAGAACTGCTTTCCAAAATGTGAAGTAGCCATGCTGCTTAAATTCTTTCTGCTGCCCACCTTACACCCGATGTAACCATACAGGTTGGCACCTTGTAGCACCACACCCATGATAACCACTGCCAACCACTCTACTCTGAAGGAGAAGAGTGCACTAAAGGCAAATATCACCCACAGCACTGGACAGGTAATAAGTCCCAACCAAAAGATTCTCGATTCAGCCTCTGACACAGTTTTATTCTCTCGAGAGGACTCCTTTCTAGATTCAAATACCCAGTGGCTCTTTGCATCTTCAGCAATGTGATTCCACCAACGTAGGCCAACCATGAGTCTACCTGCGACATTCGTCACTGCCCAAAAGTCACACGACAAGATAATTGTCACCATACAGGTAATAAAGCTGATGCTGAGCAACTCACAGAGCAGACAGATGACCATTGCACTGACCCGAAAGAACAAGTGGAAAAATGATGCTACTGGATGTCTGATTTTGGATTTTCTTGGTCTATTAGTCGTTTCCTCTTCTGCATCAAACAGTGAAACATCTTCAGTGTCATCATTACTATCCTGCTGCAACATGGCGGCCCCAACTGTAACTATTTTTACCGAAAACACCTGTTTCACAAGCCTCTCCACAGTAACACCACAATCTCCAAGAGCTTAGTGTGCTAACAATGGTTTAAAGAATCTCTAGCGGGCCAGGTGTGGTGGCTCACGCCTGTAATCCCAGCTCCTTGGGAGGCCGAGGCGGGAGGATCACAAGGTCAGGAGATCGAGACCATCCTGGCTAATAGAGTGAAACCCCGTCTCTACTAAATACAGGAAAAAAAAAAAAAAAATTAGCCGGGCATGGTGGCAGGTGCCTGTAGTCCCAGCTACTTGGGAGGCTGAGGCAGGAGAATGGCGTGAACCCAGGAGGCAGAAGTTGCAGTGAGCCAAGAGCGCACCACTGCACTCCAGCCTGGGCAACAGAGATTCTGCCTCAAAAAAAAAAAAAAAAAAATCTCTAGTTATTATTTAGGTTGATTTCATATTCTTAAAATAATGATGGAATAAAACACCTTGTATCATTCATGTCTGTGTATGAACTTTCCATTCTAATTAGTAAGATTTTTCGAGTCAGGAACACAGTAACTCAATTACCTAAAAATGTAGTATAAAATCAGGCAGAAAATATTTTCCCCTTGTTGGTCTCCTTTTCTAGAATTTACCACATACTTTGTGCACATTAATAGGTGACTTCCATTGGCAGCTGCTCTACGCCTGATCCACAGAGAGCTGACAGAGCATCCAGATGTGGTCCCTGAACAATCCCTGCTGCCCAACAGCCCTGACACCACGGGACCCTCACCCCGTCTCCATCCATGTCTGGTGTGAGCCCTTCCCAGGACCATGCCCGGTGCCACCTCTTCCCAAGTTCATGTCACTGGGTCACGAGAGACGGAATCTAAGCGAGACGAGAGGGACTGAGGGAAGGCATGGGTGAGGGTGAGCAAACCTGTCAGGCAGGACGCTTCAGACTCAGAGAAGATTCCCAACTCCAAGGCCCAGCGTTTCAAAAAGGAAGGAGACAGAACAATCCACCGAGAATATCATCTCACCTGAGGAAGAGCCATCCCTGACTCCTCTGCTTTCCTCTTCCTCTTCCGGGTTTCTTCTTCACGTACCAAGAGTCTTTAGAAGTCAGTCCTGAATGTTAAAAATATGATGTTTATTGCTCAGAATCAACACACCCCGTCCCTGTAACACAACCACACATATAAAGGAGACCCCACACTGAGGAAATATGGTCCCCTGTGCTGCCCACTGCCCCAGAGACAATAAACTCCTACAGGAAATCTCCCGCACCCTCCTGGAGAAGTCCACACACCCTACAGCAGTGGGGAGCTTGGCTGAAATGAGCACCTCTTCAGGGCACAGACACAGCCCTGACCAAATGCCATGCAGAGGCTTGGTGCAGTAGCTCATGCCTGTCATTCCAACACTCTGGGATGCCGAGGCGGGTGGATCGTTTAATCTCAGGGGTTTGAGATCAGCCTGGGCAACATGGTGAAACCCCATCTTTACCAAAAATACAAAAAAAAACGTAGTCAGGCATGATGGTGCATGTCTGTGTGTCTATGGTCCCAGCTACTTTGGAAGCTGAGGTGGGAGAATTGCTTAAGCTCAGGAGTTCGAGACCAGCATGCCAACATGTTGAAACACTCTGTCTACTAAAAATACAAAAATTGGGCCGGCCGCAGTGGCTCATGCCTGTAATACTGGCACTCTGAAAGGTCAAGGCAGGCAGATTGCTTGACGTCAGGAGTTCGAGAGCAGCCTGGCCAACATGGTGAAACCCCGTCTCAACTAAAAATACAAAAAGCAGCTGGGCTTGGGCGTCTGTAATCCCAGCTACTTGGGAGGCTGAGGCAAGGGAATCCCGAGAATCTGGGAATCTGAGATTGTGGTGAGCCAAAATCACGCCACTGCACTTCAGCCTTTCCCATGCTGGTAAATTCCATCTAAAACAAACAAACAAGCAAAAAATCAAAAAACTATGTAGACCAGGTTCGGTGGCTCTTTCCTATAATCTCAGTACTCTGGGCAGCCAAGGCAGGAGGATACTTTGGGCCCAGGACTTTGAGACCAGCCTGGGAACACAGTGAAACCTCATTTCTACCAAAAAACAAACAAACGAAAAAACAATGATGGGCTTTTTGGTGGCTCATGACTGTGGTCCCAGCTACTCAAGAAGCTGAGGTAGGATTACTTGAGCCCAGGAGGACCAGGCTGCAGTTAGAGATCATGCCACTGCACTCCAGCCTAGGTAATTGGCCAGACCCTGTCTCTTAATATTAGTTAATTAATTAAGTTAAAAATTATGTGACAACAGAAAGGAATTTTTTTCCCACTTCACTGCCCCACTCCCTACCCTACTCTGGGAAAAGGGAACAGAGTGACTCAGAAGTGAATAAGTCGCTCCACTCTGGCTGAATAGGGATTCCAAGTGGAAGCTAACCTCCGAGGCCAAGGTTTATAGAATGTACATATCTTATAGATAGGATTCTTAAAACTCTCAATCTCATCTGTATAATTTAAGCAAGTTTTAAGTTACAAGATTATATACAAAGAAGTCAACATGTCACAACTAATCGTATCCAATGAGCTCACCCACTCATCTAAACCCAAAGCCCCCCACCCTTTTTTTTCTTTTGAGACAGGTCTTGCTCTATTGACCAGGCTGGAGTGCAGTGACATGCTCTCGCCTCACTGCAGCCTGGAAATCCTGGGCTCAAGTGATTCTTCTGTCTCTGCCTTCAGAGTAGCTGGGACTACAGGTGCGTACCATCATGCCGTTAATTTTTTTTTTTTTTGGCGGAGATGGGGGTGTCTCACTATGTGGACCAAGCTGGACTTGAACTCCTGGACTCAAGCAATCTTCTTGCCTCAGTCTCCTAAAGTGCTGGTATTACAGGCGTTAGCCACTGCGCCCAGCCCCTCTTTCTTCATTACTATGCTTCCCTTTCTAATTCTGTACCTATCTCTCTCCCCTTCTCTCTCTAGCTCTTGTTTTCTTTAATTTCCCTGGGATTCTGCTCATTTTGTACCCCTCTCCTCTTCTGCTGTTTATCCCTTTCTTCCCTCCATTCCTTCTCTTCCACCTCTTCTGCTCCATCCTCGCAACTTACCTAACTTCTTGCTGCTCCTTCTCCCCAATCGTTCGATCATCCTCAATCTTGATATATTTCCGTCTCTTCTCCCATCTCTGTACCTCCTCTGCTCTCCCTGTTAAATTCTCTCTTCGCTGTTATATCTCCCTGTCCCCACTCTCTGGAACCCCATTCCTCAGGTGTCCTCCCTGCTGTGGTTCTCCTTCTGTTCTTGCCACCAGCACCACTCTGCTCTGTCTGCCCCGGCTCCAAATCCCTCCCTACTCTCCCTCACTCTGATGAGCCTCCCTCTTTGCTGCCCTTCTCCCTACATTGCTGTCCTTCATCTCTCTGCACATCTAGCTTTGCTCTACATTTCTCCAGTTGCTTTTCTCCTCCTGCTTTCTTATCGTTTTCTTTTCACTTTTGCTGTCTCCGGGCAAATCCCTCACCCATCCTCTACTTTGCCATCTGTTATGGTCTTTCTCATTCTTCTTTTGTCTGTCTCAGGTTTTCTACTGCTCTGTCTCCTGAAGCCCTTGACCCACACAATCACAGGAGGGTTTGGAGTAGGAAGCCTGCATCCCGGGGGAGCGCATTTTCCAGTGGCTGGAGCTGGGCAGACAAGAACACCCCATATCACAGGACAGGCCCCGGGAACCTCCCCAACGCGGTCTCAGGGGAAGCGGTGACTGCAGAGGGGAGACCTGGGGAACTGCAGGGCCCGGCACGAGGAGGGAGGTGGGGGCGTCTTAAGACAAGGGTGGGGGTCTGCACGATTCTAGGACTAGGCAGAGGACGCGGCCTCCGTGGGACTGAGGTCCCTGCGCTACGCTCCAGTGGCCTACCAAGGCGAGGGTGGGAGGCGCCTAGGGAGGGAATTCAGCTCCCCGGTGAGGACTTTAAAAAGCGCGGGGCGGGAGGAGTCAGAAAATGGTTTTGAGCAGGAAAACTACGCGACAGGAAGTGTAACATTGCCCTATAGCAGAAAGACCGGGGCCGGCCCAGCCTCGGGGCGACTTTAAACCCAAAAGGAAGCGATATCCGGACTCTCATGGGGACGTCTCAATTTGTCCTGGGTGAAGGAAGAAGGGCGAGAATTTCCAGGTCTGTAGGGACCCCACGTTTCAGGTATAGAAGCGCAGGGGACCTGGTAAGCCCAGACTTAATACAAGAGCGAAACTCACCGCCGCGGTGTGACCTTCACTCCACCAAACCCGCTTCCGGGTTTGCGCGAATCTGCGCACGCAGTACGGAAGCCAGGTCTGGGCGGGGGCCGGGAGGAGGTGGGCGGGGCCTTGAGGAGTAGGGGCGGGGCGGAAGGCGGAGAGACTTTCCTCTTTAGAACCGGCAGAGGGCGGGGCCAGGGCGGGACCTGTGCCTCTCTCAGCCTCCTTCTCAGCGCGTCTGTTTTTCGGGTTTTGGAGGCGAGACCGACCAGGAAGGCTGCGGTATGATTCAAAAGCCCTGGAATTGTCTGGAACGAAGATGCAAACTAGAATGGGAAATGCAAAGCCCTGCCTGGGCGAAAAGTACGATTTCATGCTGACGGCCCACAGAACCAAATAGAAATCCTCTCCCTTTCTATTCTCTCACTTGGGAGAGAGTCCACCCTGTGCTTAGCTTCAGAGACTCAGGTCACTGCATGAGATGCGGGACGGAGTGCTCAGGCCAAGGAGAGGTGAGGTCACCACCTGCGGCTTAGACACAGCAGGGATGCGGGCGCGGGAGCCTGAGGTCCCAGCTATTCAGGAAGCAGCGGAGGGAGGATCGCTGAGCCTGGGAGTCCAGGCCAGCCTGGGCGACAAAGGCTGGCCTGGACTCCTCGACAAACACCCCCTCCCGCAGGGCTCCCTTCCTCGTCTCTGTCTTTCTCTTGCTTTTTTTATAATAGCATTTTTGATGCTGTTACATAGGGATCCAACATTATTCTTTTCCACGTGGATATCTAGT